AAATATGTCAGTGTGCTTGCATGTTTCCATATTTCCACACCATAATTGTGACTTTTTATTTCAAAATTCTGACTTTGTTTCTCACATTTCCAAGGTAACTTCTCACAATTCTGAGTTTATATCTCACAATTCTGAAAAAAAAAAAAAAAATCTCAGAATTGCAAGTTGTAAACTCAGAATTCTAACTTTCTTTCTTACAATTCTGCATTTATATCTCACAATTCTGAGTTTATATCTCACATTTTTGAATTGCCTGTGGCACAAAACAGCTGCATAGCTCTTTCAAAGAAATCTAAATTTCATGCTTTAGAATTTGTTGTGGCACAGAGGTTATAAATTCATTGCTGGACATCACAGTTTTGTTTTTGTCTTCACATGAAATGCCATGTGAATGATCTCATGCTGTATATGCAGTACAGCAGTACATGATCTGAGATCACATTCATAGGCTGTATCTTGTGCAATCCTAAACAAAGAATAGCTTGGGAGAAGGAGGAAAGCAATCAATGCAGGTGAAAAACACAAGCCGCATACCAAATCATGTACTGGAACAAACATCAACAGGATAGTTCTTTTTTTTTCTTCACATCATTAGTGAAGGCATAAGCAAAAAGCATAGACAGAAAATGAAAAATTTTTCACAGATGTCTTTTTATTTGTCAAACAAAAGAGCTGTCTATGTTAGCAATGGCTGTCCTCCTTTGTACACTTTGCTTGAAATAGTAGTGTATAATCGGTATGTTTTACCATATAGCATTTGCTTGACACGGTATGAAAAATAAATAAATAAATATGAAATTTGTTTTTGTTTTTGGAACAGCTGACAGCATAAACGCAAAGCTAAAAGAGTGTGTGGCCCACTGTTGACTTTATCTATACATGTTTTCAAACGATCAATATTCAAAGCACATTTAATGGAAATGGTGGACTATCAGACCCATCAATATATTTTTTTTTCCTCAAAAATGTGCCTGTGGACCTCATATTTAGATTTTTTTTTCTTCTTAATACACTGTCACCCTCAAAAGGTCTATACAAAACTGATAAATGTGCACACAAGTCATTTGAACAGTGTTGGAGAAGAATCTCACAGACAGGGAAATGTTAGACAATAATTACTGATATTACTTCCATATATGTCGATAAACATAGAAACTGTCATGAATCCTGTCCATGGACTTCCGTCCAATTGCCACCAGAGGTCACCCTTTCGTTACATTGACTCTCACACTACACACTGTTGTGTAACTGTTGCACGTCATCCCGGACTACATATCCCAGCATCCATTGCACTGATTAGACACACAGCTGCTGCCAATCACACACCCTACATAAGCCATGGACTTCCTCTCTCTCACTGCCGAGTATTGTTTGCGTATATCGCTCTCTTAGTGGTAGCACATTACGGAGCCAGTTTTCTGCCCTAGTTTCTAGTCCTTAGTTCCTAGTCATAGTCTTGTCTTGCCTTGCCTGCTTTCCCGTGTTACCTGATTCTTGCCTGTTTATCTTGGATTAACCCTTTGCCTTTCTGTTTCGTACTGTATTTGCACCTCGCCTGGACTATTGCTCGTGTTATTGAATTTCCCCTCTTGTCAAGCCCTCTGGATAATGTTCGCTGTGGACTGACTCATGCCCATTTTGGATTACTCTTTTGTCTTGCCCTCAATATACCTGTTTGCCATTGTCAGAACCTTGCCTGTTTTATGACCACGCCTTTAAATAAAAGCTTTGCAGATGGATCCGCACGTCTCACGTCTCGTTGGCCCTTAACAGAAACATGATGTCAACATTTATTTGTTAGTTAAAACATATGGTACTGTACGTGATGTATATGCTGATTCTGGTGTATGATATACGCTGAATTCATTTTTATTTTTTTGACATTCAAGACTGTTCAAATACTGTTAAACCCCCCTCCCCCAACTCATGGATATATGCAAATATATATATATATTACATGTATGTCATGAGCCCTGAAAATTTCCAGAAAAATAGCAAATAAAATGATGCAGTGATTTCACAACCCAATGGTGCTCACCTTTGAAATGAGTAACTAGATTCCCATGATTACCTAACAGCTGCATAAACATCTGTATCTAATATTTCCATACAAGAAAACTGTTATTTATTGGTGACTTTATTATATGTGACCCTGGAACACAAAACCAGTCATAAGTGTAATCCATTGATGTATGGTTTGTTAGGATAGGACAATATTTGGCTGAGATACAACTATTTGAATATCTGGAATCTGAGGGTGCAAAAAAATCAAAATCGCCTTTAAAGATGTCCAAATGAAGTTCTTTGCAATGCATATTACTAATCAAAAATTAAGTTTGAATATGTTTGCGGTAGGAAATTTACAAAATATCTTCATGGAACATGATATTTACTTAATATCCTAATGATTTTTGGCATAAAAGGAAAAATCTATCATTTTGACCCATACAATGTATGTTTGGCTATTGCTACAAATATACCGCAGCGACTTAAGACTGGTTTTGTGGTCCAGGGTCACATATGCAAAGGGGAAAAAAGAAGAATCTCACTTAGTGTAGTCCATACAACACATTTTTTCATGTTAATATTTCTTCACATTTTCTAACAAGCACTCCAAAGTTTTTTTTTTTTTTTTAATCGTAAGATTGTAAGTACTAAAAAAAGATGACATCTATCCTGAGGATTTTACAATCAAGAAAAAAAAATACAGTAGTACAGGTAAACAGCCTGAAAAACTGAGACATCTGGAAGTTAAACAAACAATAATTTATACATCAAATACCTCTAAATGATTAATTTCCAATGACATTATTTTCTTGACAAATTTATATTTTGACTGCCTACATAACCTGTAAGTAAATGTACCTTTACCTTCATAACTTTCCAGCAGTTGTCTATGTGTGTGAAATTAGTTAAGATTAGTCTGTAATAGGTGCTTCCAGTACTGTAGTGTTGCTTTTATTATGGCATGTCATTACATTATGGGACATGTAACAGTGTCTTTAGAAAAGTACAGGAAAACAGATCATACAAATTTGAAATGATTGATAAAAATGATCTACGAAATGCTTTAATTTGAACTTATACATCTTGTTGTCTTATACTTCTATTCACTTTTGCATCATGCAGTTATTTAGCATTTTACATATAATACAATACCATCATATTTATTGTCTACACAACAATGTCAGTGTCAGCTGAGATATAACTTCAGTCAGGCCTGCTGTTAAAATTAAAGTAGAAAGATATTTTACATGTTAATGTTAGTCTTTTCTGTTATGTGTTTGATTATGGCCCAAAAAGCATTGCATGTCATTTTGTTCTGGTTTAAAGTGACACTGTACAGTGGCTATTGTTCCACTGCGTAAACCACAGTGAAATAAACCCCATGCTCCATTTAGCTCTTAAAAAAAAAATTGAATTAAATAATTCAACAAATGGCACAGACCATAAAAAGGACAAACAAGCAGGGCATTATAGATGACTAAACCGATCCTCTTTAGGAAAAAAAACAAAAACAAATCATAATATTATAAAAATGGAAAATTCAGATGAAACCAATTTTAATTTTACATGTTTAAGCACAGTTTATATTGAATATGGATGAAAGAATATGGGTATTCACTCTTCCTCCGTGCATCCTAGTAACTCTGCACGCAAAGTGATTCTTCCGTACCACGACCATGGAAGAATTCGGATGAATCTGGCATAGATGGGAGGATCTATCACATTCTTTCTGTGGGTGTCATTATCAAAATTTCCTTGAAAGACCTGTTGGGAAAAAAAAAGAAAAAATCCTAAATTATACACTGATTAATTTTACTTCTCAATCAAACCTAGCAGACCTATTTAACAGGTGCACCAAATGGAACAATTTGGAATATTTGATAATAAAAAAACTACTATAAAATATTTGTTCATTAGATACATAAAACATTAGTGTTAAGCATTTTGTTTTTGTAAAAAAACACATTTGAAAGAAATATTTCCTCATGTATGCTCCATACATCACATACAGCATCAAGAGGAGCTACAGAGAAACTACAGAAGAACTCTCTAACACCAGATATATACCATTATATACACCACTGGTCAGTAAGATTTTTTTATTTTTTTGAAAGAAATTAATACTTTTATTCAGCAAGGACACATTAAATTGATCAAAAGTGACAGTAAGGACATTTATAATGCTACAAAATAATTATATTTCAAATAAATTTCCTGGAGGAAAAAAACAATTAGGCAGCATGTTTAATGTTTAGTGTGCAGCAAACCAGCGTAATAAGTAATTGATAATGTTTGAGCACGAAATCAGCATATTAGAATGATTTCTGAAGGATCATGTGAGACTGAAGACTGGAGTAATGGCTGCTGAAAATTCAGCTTTGTCAACACAAGAATAAATTACATTTTAAAATATATTAAAATAGAAAACAGATATTTTAAATAATAAGAATATTTCACAATATTACTATTCTGACTGCATTTTTTGATCATATAAATATCCTTGGTGAGCATAAAAGACGTTACAAAAACATTTAAAGAAATGTTTTGCTTCTTTGGCTTAAGAATTTAAAATTAAACGACTGGCAATTAACACTCAAATTCTCTCCAGTTTAGGATGGGTGTTATAGTCTTAATGCAAATATTACTATTACTATTTACAACGTGTTTTTTGCAGCATTGAGAAAAGTAGCCAATCACAGACATATCTGTTGGTTTCTTGAACGCAATGGCCAATCAGTTTTAGTTGGTCAGAATTCACTCACCGCTCAAAACACCAGAGTTTCTGTTAAGTGCTTCATTGTACAGTTTAGAGAGCCTCAATGATTATAACGGAACCTTGTGAGATTGCCATGAACTAAGATGAGTGACGCGTTTTTAGTGATTATAAAGGGAGCATGCTTTGCGCACCTTCTAGGCTATAATCCATTCAGAATTTGTACGAAACCTTTGTTTATCAGACACATAAATGCTGCAAAGTTTCGGGAATGACACCCACTAACTGGGTGAGTTATGCTGGACTCACCCTAAATGGGTCATGACATGAGAAATCACATTTGCCTTGATCTTTTGGCATATATGAGGTCTTTGTACCATTACAACATCCTGCAAGTTTCATAGCTTAAAATGTCATCCTCATTATAAACAAAGCATTTATTTAATCAAGCTCCAAAAATGGCTTGTTTGGATCTGAGATGACATGTGACGTCACAAGGGCACACACATTTGCACATACATTGCCTCCAGAACAAGACATCAACGGATAGTTATCATCTCACCATAGGACATGCCCAATGGCATTCCGTCGCTTAATAGCTGACACCTACCCTGGATGCGAGCATGGTGTCTCGTCAAAAGCAAATAGAACCTGTTATAATAACTGCCGCTGCCTTGTCTACACTGGATACAGTATACAGATATGTGTTCACTTTCTGACATAGTCCATGCGCTAGAGTCTGACAACAACTGGGCAAACGGTAGAGTGAACAAATGTTCGCTTTGACGCATTTAAACAGTTTGTTCGCTTCTCTGTACAGACATCAGAAGGATTCCAGCATCAGGAACAAATGGATGGTTTATTTTAATGGCATCCCGGATCGTGTCGGAGGATTATATGTTTGTTCAGAAGCATTTTATTTTGTAAAGGAAGCAGTGTAATGCAGAGTTTGCAAAGCAACATTTGTTGAAAGATGAAGCTGTATTGCATCTGAATGCAGCTGCATCAGAAACCGTAAGTAAATGATTTCAAAGTGCTTTGTCTGTAAATTACGTTTTTTTTTTTTATGTATCATGTTGTCAAAACCCTTACTCACATGCAGTAGTGTAGCGTTGATACTGTTGTGTATGCAGGGACATTAGCTAATCATAACAGTGGCCATTTACTGACAATCCTTAAAGGACTCGCCCCTTATAAACAGGTCGTTTTAGACAGAGGATCAGAATGAGAGCTGAAAATAATCATTTTTCCAAATATATATTTGCAGTATTGCTACAAGTAGCAATGCTACTATCGTAGCTAAATTTTTCAGTAGCTTGACAGTAGCTCAACTACTTTTAAAACAAGCTTTTCTAGTAGCTAACTACATTTTCCAGCATGGTGTAGCTCGACAATAGCTACATTCTAATTTGTGAACCTGCAATAGACTGAAGCAACGCAGCGTCTTCTTACAAGATCACATACTAAACCAGTGCATTACCTGTGTGTGTGTGTGTGTGTGTGTGTGTGTGTTGTACTCTGAATTGTTCTATGTACGTCTTATTGGGACCCCCTCGAAAATTAGATAGTTCATCTCAAGGGGCTATCCTTTTAATAAATTCAAATTCAAAATTCCAATAATATCTTGCAAGTAACAACGGTTGAAATTCAACCCATAAAGGATTCTAACATTTGGCAATTAACATTAAGGAAGAACTTTGTGTGAGGGCTTTTTTAAAGGAGGTAGTTGATTTACATAAATTACACCATGACGTTCAAGAGAGGGTTGATATTTCAAGTTCGACACACCCTATTATCTAACAACAAGAGACAGTGGCGGAATTGGAGATAATCACTGGATTATTGAAGGACACTACATCTCAATCCTCAATCATTTAGCACTAGACTAAAAATTTACTTTATATTCGGATACTTCATATTTATGAAAATACCCAAGATGGCTTGAAGAACATTCTATTACCTCTGTGATGTATATTTGGAGTTTCTGCGCAAGGGCACCTTCTGGCGTCCAGTATGAATGAAACAGACATTACATGTGTTTAGTGCTCAGTAATGCACCCTCAGTACTATTTTGGGCATAAACAGATAAAATAATGCTTCTCTTTAAAGAAATTTGAAGTAAACATATGATAATCCATGCTTTTCTCCAGACAGTGTATAGAACTGTACATGAGTTGTTTTTTTCCCCCACAGTTGATGCATGAAAGGCTCATATTTAATATTAAAGCCATGGACTCCATTTTTTGATTTTACATAGGCTTATCTCCTGATATAAATTAAGAAATTACTGTCATAACATTATTGTCATAAGATTTTTATCATAACAGTATCATATAGTGTACAGTTATAGGCTGCCTGCATGTTAACAAGTTAACAAGTAACATATATATATGTGTGTGTGTGTGTGTGTGTGTATATATATATATATATACAGTACATACAATATATATATATATATATATATATATATATGAATTAGTTATTGTTATTACCTTATGATAATTTTTTTATCTAATTATTATACATTTGTTGCAATTTCGAACTTTGACTTGACAACTGGAGCTACTGAAAGTTTTTAACTGTTTAGTTTTGGCTCACTGTAATGTGGTGTTTTGGGTGTGTTCGGCGGAGTTGAAAACGGATCCGTCAAGCCGGACACTTTCTGCTCCCGTTAGTGAAGCTCACACGGTGTTTGCATACTTGCATACAGGACTTTTGTGGACTTTGTCACCAAGTGGATTTTAATGAAACATTTGTTAAGGACATTTTCCGCTATGGTTTGAACAAAAATTTATCTTGTTTAATGCCACGCAATACCCCTCAATGGACTCTTAAAAAATACATTGACTTTGCTTTGTTGCTGGCTAATTCACCATTCACTTTCCTTTCCATGAGTCTGCTCCAAAGGCCTCTCCTGTCCATGAATCAAATCCAGTGCCTCCAGAAGTGGTAGCATCCGCTGCAGAACCTCCAGAGGTGGCGGCATCCGCTGCAGAACCTCCTGAGGTGGTGGAGTCCGCTTCCGAACTCACAGACTGTATTGTCACGGCCACGGAGGCCGTTCACGAACTCACTGTCTGCCCTGTCACAGCCAAGGAGTCCGTTCACGAACCTGCAGAACCTCCTGAGGTGGTGGCGTCCGCTTCCGAACTCACTGCCTGTCCTGCTACGGCCATGGAGGCCGTTCATGAACTCACTGCCTGTCCTGCTACGGCCAAGGAGGCCGTTCACGAACTCACTGCCTGTCCTGTCACGGCCATGGATGCCATTCTGGAACTCACTGTCTGTCCTGTCACGGCCATGGAGACCGTTCATGAACTCCCTGTCTGTCCTGTCACAGCCATGGAGGTCGTTCATGAACTCACTGTCTGTCCTGCCACGGCCAAGGAGGCCATTCATGAACTCATGGTCTGTCCTGCCACGGCCAAGGAGGCCGTTCATGAACTCACTGTCTGTGCTTTCACGGCCAAGGAGGCCGTTCATGAACTCATAGTCAAGTGGTCTGTCCATGTCCATGAGCATCCTGCTCTGCCGTCATCACCGCCATGGCCCCCCGATGCCTCGTCAAGTCTGTTCTAGTCAAGTCTGTTCATGTCAAGTCAAGTCTCGGATTATGTTTGGATTTCACCTGTAAATAAACTGCACTTGGGTTCTTCACTACACTTGCCTTCAGTGGACTGAATCGTTACACTCACATGCTTCCAATTTAAAATTCAAATGAAATATAGGCTAATTCACTGTAAACAGTCAGATTATTTAATTTGCTTTTGATGAAATCAGCTTGACTTTGTATTTCCTACAGCAGACGTATGCAAACACATTGACCTATCAATCAAATAGTGTGTATTTACAATACAGAGTCAGAGAAAGGAAGTACAGTTCATGATTTATGAATAACCCTTGAGTGTGTAGCTGAACTGATGCTGAAGGCAAACAGAGCTCAAGTTCGTTCAGTGCAAAGAGTTCAGAGATGGGGAAAATTCAGCAAGCAACAAAGAGGTTGGCTGGGAACTAAGTCTTCAAGTGGGCTTCAAAGACAAATTTTACTGAG